AATATAGATTTAATTTTCTAAAAAAACTTTTTTGAAAAGAGATCCGTTTTAGGTCACTCTTATTATTATTAAAGTACTACTAAAATTATATATGCGCAGTAAATACAATAATTTTATATAATTATTATAACGCTTTATAATTTTATATAATTATTATAACGCATAATAGTTTATTATAACGCAGTTTATCACTCATATATATTTCTTTCACCGCAACGTGGAGAAATAAACATTTTTAGCCTTTTTCTCATAAATAATGAAAACAATCTTCCGAAAATATAGAGGACGCAGGTTGTGCTAACTCTTTTAGCAGTGGAAACTTCTCTTCATGTTTCCAATAATTTAAAACTCTAGTCATTATTTTTTTTATAACCGAGAGATTAAAGGAAGTTCACGCCTTCTTTCTAACCGTTGTCGCAAAATTGCCTAGAGGTGGGCTTTGAACCGCGGATCCGCATTAGTGCCCAGTACCACGGATCCATTTTGTTAGTGTCCAGTACCTAATGAAAATAAGCATTATCTTAGTTTTGTTGCAATATAGTAGCATTACATATCATTGTTGTATACTATTTCGTTAGCTTTCGAGATCTACAATATAAAAAATTGTCAAACATTTTACATACAGACATTACCAGGAGCAATACATCAGTATTGCTTCTTGTAATACCAGTATCTACATCTTTAGAATCAATTTTTTTCAATTGAGGAATAGCTTTATTTGACAAAAAATAAATAAATTAGGAACTCTAAAGAAAAATAAAAAGCCCATAAGTTGTGAATAAACCATTAGACTTATATAAATGATTGTTCTTTATTCAAGTTAAAATATTAGACACATACCTATAAAGTGGCTTCAAAACAGATTAATTTTATAAGCGTAACTTGTACAAAAAAAAAAGAAACGCGGAGAAAAGAAAAATAATTAGATTTAATGCACAATGAGCTTGACTTTAAAAGAACAACGAGACTTGATTGAGCAAACAATATGTCATGATTTAAATATTTGTCAATAAAAGTCATGATCTAAACATTTGTCAATAAAAGTCATGATCCAAATAATCAATAAAAGTCATGATCCAAATAATCAATAAAAGTCATGATCCAAATAATCAATAAAAGTCATGATCCAAATAATCAATAAAAGTCATGATCCAAATAATCAATAAAAGTCATGATCCAAATAATCAATAAAAGTCATGATCCAAATAATCAATAAAAGTCATAATCCAAATAATCAATAAAAGTCATGATCCAAATAATCAATAAAAGTCATGATCCAAATAATCAATAAAAGTCATGATCCAAATATTTGAATTATGACAAGTTTTTTGATTATTCAAGCCTCAAAATTTTTAATTAGATTTAACGTCAAGCTTAATGTGCATTAAATCTAATTACTTTTCTTCTTTCCACGATTTTTTTTTGTACAAACTACGCTTATTATTTTATTTATTTATTATTATATATATTTATTTATTATATATATTATTATATATATATTTATTAATATATATATATATATATATATATATATATATATATATATATATATATATATATATATATATATATATATATTTACTTTTATTTTGCTGATTAAATAGTTACAATAATAATTTTCTCATAATCATGGAAAAAATACATAAAATACACGTCGTAAAGATAAAAATGATATAAAAAACGTTTTTTTCATAATTTTTTATTTTATATTATGTATATTCTGTTCTAATCAGTCATGGACTCAAAGAAGGTTAGGATGATGTGTTTAACATCACAACCTTTTCATAGAGCCCCTATAGTCACTCATTATAAAGACAATTTAATTTTTAAAAATAAAATAAAAATTCAATAAAAACAAAGCTCATATTTTTTTAGTGTAACAAATTCAAAAACAAAAAAATATTAAAAACAAGAAAAATAAGAAGACGGAAAAAAAAAACAAAAATAAAAACAAATACTGTAAATTAAAAAAAATATATGTCAGGAATTAAGAAAAGGAATTAAGAAAAGTCTTAATCTGGCACTGCGTTTATGCATAAGTAAAAAATTTGTATAAGTAATCATAAAATTCAGGTAAAAAATATTTTTACCTGAATTTTAAAAAAAATTAACAGCGTTAATTTTTTAAATTTAAATATTTTTTTATAATTAAAGAATACATGAATTTTTATAATTAAAGAATACAAGAAAAAATTTCATTTTTCTTTTAAAAAATTAGTTACTTTGGGATCAAAAATTCATCAAAATATGGTGACTGATGATGAGATGAGAACGTATTTATTCGCACAAACTTTTCTAAAAAACCTTTAAACATTTTCTTTCTATTAAACTTTCGATAAAAACGAAACAATAGGATCTGCACTGACATTTTGAACCAAACCAGGAATTTTAGCAAATTATTAATTGTGGCATCCTACAACTACAATAAAAAAGTGATATAAAAAAATACTAAATATACATGAAGTGATTATAGCAATTATAATAAAAGTAAATGCTGCGAATAAAAACTAATAGTAAAAGTAATAATAATAATTAAAGTACCAAATTAACACAACAATGAAATATGCTTCTATAGGAAAATATAAAACTTTTTTTACATATAAGATAAAGTGGGGTTTCTACATATAAGGTAAAGTGGGGTATATTGACGCATCTTTAGAAAATAATTTATTTTATCGTTGTGACAAGCAATAACTTCTATACAACCTATTCTTTGGTTTTTAGAAATAGCAGTAGACCTATATATATAAAAATTGTAATAGTCCTGAAAACATAACAAAAAATTATTATTTGAAGGATATCAATTATCTTCAGTTCTTATAGTGTCTACATGAAGATATAAAAAAGTTAGTTCACAGTTATAGCTTCTGTTTTTACTTAAGAATGTCTAAGAATTACCAAAATATTAAGCTCTACAACACATCAATATCAAGACTCAATATCTGATTCTGACGAAATCTCACAGCATTGTAATTTTTTCCTGGATTTGTTTGATTCCATTTCATATAACAGTGAATGATTCGTCGGATGTTTACGACATTCCGCCTAATTTGGCTTGATTCTTAGCCCGTGAGATGACTTAAGAATTCCTGTCAATGTTAACACAAAGTTGATAGAGGTTTTTAAAAAAAAATGCTACGAAAAAATCTTATAGGCTTAGTGTTTAGAAACAATATCATTAAAACACACCAAAAATGATATTACAGAATGGTTTTGCTTATCTTTTAACTAAAGTTTTTCAGCAACAAAAAAACTTAAAATTAGTTTAATTTATAACCGCCATATTGTGTTGTTATTTATACTTACTATTATGGGGACAAAAGGTTATATTTGTTCATTCAACATCTGGCTACATCTGTTAAAATAATTTAAACAATAGTCAATGGTTGACAACTTAAAAAATGTCAAAGTAACCCACATTACCTTAAGTACTTTTCCGTTTTTTAATAGGCCTTGAATTTTTTTTTAGTTAATAACGTGTGTTTTAATTGTGTTGAAAAAAGTTAAGTTTTCTTTTCATATTAGTCACTCAGTAAAAACAAACTTTATCTAATAGAATAAATTATTCAAAAGTTACTAACCTTGCCCTTTAGTTGCAGAAAGCATCTGATGTTTGTGATTAATGAAAACATTTCCGCAACTCATATAAGTTAATGTATTTATGAAAAAGCAGCTCATATGTTGCATATTATATATATATATATATATATATATATATATCGTCGCTGCAAAACAAATCTACCTTAAGTCCATTTTTGGCAAAATTGACTTTTTTTGTTTAAAATACTCCTTAGGTGCACAAAAGTCATCTCACTAAGTATGGAACCAAAAAAGATGCAACTTTTGCAACTATGAGTAAAACTTAAATATCTTATGTCCTAAAAAAATAATTAAAAGACATCGTTGCTGTACAACAAAACTATCTTAAGTCCATTTTTTGGGAAGAAAAATTACTTTTATGGTGTAAAATACTTAACACATAATAAATAACTAAAAACAAGTAGATTTAAAAATTGTAGTATTTAAAAAAATCAGAAGCAGTGATTAAATTGAAAACTTTAAATGTCTTTTTCTCAGATCAGCAAAACGGACTTACGATTGTCTTGTTTTGCAGCGGCAAATCAATTTGTAGAATTTTGACATATTTTATATAGTTTTAAATCTTAACTCCATTTGCTTCTCATCAACTTGTTGCCTTTTATAAACTTAAAATTTTATTTTTTATTTGTTATATTATGAAAAATAATAACATATTCTATAAGTATTTTAAAAACAATTTAGTTTAATGGAGAAGATCAAACGCAGTGATGAATTAAAAACTTTAAATGCGTTTTTCTCAGAACAGCAAAAATGGACTTAAGATAGTCTTGTTTTGCAGCGACGATATATATATATATATATATATATATATATATATATATATATATATATATATATATATATATATATATATATATATATATATATATGTATATATATATATATATATATATATATATATATATATATATATGTATATATATATATATATATATATATATATATATATATATATATATATATATATATATATATATATGAAATATATGTATGTATATATATATATATATATATATATATATATTTATATATATATATATATATATATATATATATATATATATATATACACACAAGGCCGGCGCGATAGGGGTGTGTGAAACCCCCTCATCAATGACTTTTAGTCAAACTGGACCCTTAGTCAGCAAACGGGACCCTTTTAGACTAGTTAGTTGGCAAATCTCGACCCTTTCGATATAGGTTATACAGTCGGCAAATGTCCTCATGACAGTCGGCAAATTTTGGAAAACGAAGACCTTTTTTTTTTATTTTTAGTCGGCAAAATTTGTAATGGCACCTTTCTCCCCCACCACGTGACACCTACTCGCGCCGGCCCTGTATATATATATATATATATATATATATATATATATATATATATATATATATATATATATATATATATATATATATATAAATATAATGTTAGCATGTTTGTGTGTGCCTGTAAAATTATATTTATATATATAACTTTTAAAAAGAAAAATATATATATTGATAATTGTGGCACTTGGATGATCAACAACTTAATAACTTTGTCAGTAACCTGTTTAATGATTAATTAAATTCAAATTTAAGTTTGCTGCATGGATTTTGATTTTATGACAAATTTTAAATAAAGAAAGAAGCAGCTGAAAATTCTGGAGATCCAAGTGGGAGCTCGAAAAGCTTTTTTAAAGAACTGATTTTACTTTCTACATTTTAATTTTAAACTATATCTCTATAAGTAAAGAAAAAACTCCTAATCATCCCAACACGTTTTGTGATGATTGGGAGTGAAGCATACTACTTGATTGAAAATGATAAACATGATTTTTGTAATAGTGTCCCTCTATCTATCTTGTTAGATAGCTGGAGACTGTTACAAAAAGGCAAAATAAAATTAGAGTTTGTAAAAAGCAACATTTTACCATGTAGAATAATTCTAAGAAATAAGTTTAAGGTTAGGTAGAAAAATTTGGAATGAAAAAATATAAGGCGATTAGAAGGAGGTTTATGCAAATCTTTAAATACTATAAAAAAGAAAATTATATACAAAATTCATGTAATAACTTTAAAATAACACTTATTTTAAAGTTATTATTTAAATATAACTTATTAAAGCAATGACACAATAAATGTATAGAAATAATCTATACAAATTGGTTAATCATCAATTAGATATAAAATAACTTATTAAACATACGCAGCTCTTTTAAGGTTAAGCATAGATTCATAGCCATTTTCCAAATATCTGAATGACATAAGCTTATTATCATAAATTTGTACAGAACAAAGAATATTAATCTAATCAAGTTAAAAAAAAAATCTTTTACTCCTTAAGATGACAAAAATACTGCTATTAATACTACTTCACTAATATAGTAATACTGTATTTAACTATTTAAAATCTTTTTAAAATTTTTTAGCAACTATAACAACTTATAACAACACAAGTTTTCTAATTTTTTTATAATTAATAAGAAATATAATTCTAATGACAATATAAGTCTTAAATGCTTTTTGATTAACAAAAATAATTAAAAGACAAGACACTAACACTTTAGTTGCAGAAATCAATACCAAAAAAACTACTTTTATATAAATATTAATTTAACCAAAATATTCTCAATAACTAAAAACTAACTACACCATTGAATGCAGCTCTTAGCAAAAAGGAACAAACTAAAAAAAAAAATCCTTCTCTTGCTTTAAAAGCAAGTCTTTTAAAGCTACAAAATTTATTTATATGCATATTAAATTTACAGGTAACTTTAGGTAAATTTAGGTAAGATAATTTTTTACGTGTTTGTATAAATTAAATAAAAAGAGTTGCTTTTATTTTAAATAAGTTGGTTCCATTTTATTTAAACTCCAAAAAGTAATTTTTAATATAAACAGTTAAACACGCATTCTAAACATACTAATGCTATAAAAACTTGTTTTATTTTAATTTCTCTCATGGTTAATGCGTGTTCTTATCTGAGTAACTGTAAAGTTTTCTAATAAATTAGTGTTTTGAAGCACATCTAAGATTTGAGTTCGAGAAAGTGGTCCTCCCAAAATTAGATCTTTCCCATAGTTTTTTAATTCAGATAATTGCTCTGCAGACCAGCTTTTCCTATAATAACTCAATTGCCTTTTTGTCTAGGGTAAACACTATATATAAATAGATACACACAAGTTTTTATATATATATATATATATATATATATATATATATATATTTATGCACATATGCATAAATAAATTTATATATAAATTTATAAACTAAACTATTTTAACTTTATAAAAAATTTAACTTAGCAACCTTTGTATCTATTTCTGTTGCAGTGTTTTTTCTCTTCATGCTTTTTAACTTATCATAGGCTTGTCTTGGGGAGCATTTAATACTGCATGGTGAACTTGCTAGCGAAGATTTAACTTTTCCATATGATATATTTTGATTTTCTGGAAATAATGAATTTAATAATAATGTTTCTTCATTGTTCCATATTTTTTTAGGAGAATTAAAAGATTGATTATTTTTATCATTTATTGGAGAGTGAACAGGAATATCATTTTGACCATAAGAAACATACTTTTCATAAGGTTTTGAAGGGGATGATTGAAAACTTTGTCTGATTACATTACTTCCTTGAACAGAACAATTCATCTGATTTTGAGTTTCATAATGAACAGCTGCAGTTTTCTTGCTGTGCGCCATGGAACGTGCCACAACACCTCTATGATTATAAAATGTGCTATTTTCATCATTTACCATAGTTGATGTTGTTTTGCGCACTATATTAGCTGATAATTTTTTAGGAATTATGCGCCCATCAAAAATACCGGCTTTTACCCATAAAGAGTGCAATCTGCCACTGATATTGCCAGATGACATTTCTTTACCACACCAAGATAAAAAAACCTTATCTGAATGAATAGTTGGCAACTTTGACCTAACAAATTTAACAAAAATTTCAATCCATTCAAACTCTAATGGATTAAGTGTAACTCGGGCAGGACCATATTTTGAAACTGTTTTATGGTCCCAAACACTTATCATTCGAACTCCATTATCCAAAACTTTGTATCTCTGATACTCTTCCATGCTCATATTAGCAGTAACGCCAGATCTATGGGCACTACAAAAATGAATGATAAAAAACACATGATCTCTATATGAACAATATTCAAACTGAGACAATGCTTTAGCATTATCAACTTTTAAAGATTCTTGCAATTCTTTGGCAAATAAAGCATTTTTGCTATTTTCATATTTCTTAACTTGATCAGGAGTGACAAGCATTTCGTAATCATCTTCTGACTTTTTATGCTTTTGAAGATTGTCTCTAGCTTTTTTTTTTTTTTCCAGTTTTCAATATTCAAAATTGTTTTGTAAATATCTTCAATAGGGAGGTTTGGCAATTTCTTTTTTGATCCTGCTAAAAATAAACAAAAATCTTTTAACGAATTTTAGTAGGTCTTTATTGAACCTGCTCCCAATTTTCTCTTAACACAATGTACTTGAAGATATTGATGCCAATGATGTCTGTATCATTTTCAAATATTATGTTGACAGATGTTGTTGCATTAATAGCTAGTAAAATTCTCTTTACATCATTTCTAACTTTTTCAAGTGATCTACATTTACGGGCTCTATCTGGACCTGTATAAAATAAAAAAAAATCAGATAGCAATTCTTCAATGGAAGGGCTTAATTGTACTTTTGATGACTGACTTTCCTCAGTATCACAATCAGATAAGACATAATCTGAGTCATCATCATTATCATTGTCATCATCATCATCATTATCATCACAATCTTCATTTGAGCAAAGGGCATTTGGAACATTAATTATAGGATTTTTAAATCCTAGTTGAGGCAAAGAAGACATTTGAACAGTAAGTTTAACTTGTGGCTTTTCTGTAACTGAAGACATTGGGTCATTTAAAAGAAATATGTTATTATTTAGAGATAAATGTTCAGAGCTGTTTGAAGAGACTGATGGTTTGTAAATTTGAAGTGCTTTACTTGGAGATTCTGCACTCAGATCTACCCCTTTATATATTAAGGCACATTTTAAAAGAGCGTAATATTCTTTTCCAGGATAAATTTTGTGAGTCTTACTCCTGAGATGCTCACCTATATTTTTTGTTACTTTATAGCAATTAGGGATTGCACATATTTTTTTTTTATGATAGTTTTTATGTTTTAATGGAGAAGATTTTTTTTTATATTGTTTTCTTAAATTAAAAACTCCAACAACACTCTTGCTACTTGATGTAGACCAATTATGTTCTGATGCCATGTGACCAGGAAGATCCAAAGTAGAAGTATTACATACTGGGCAGTCTTTCATATATTGTTTTCTAACAACAAAAAGTAACTAAATATTTTTAAATAAGCAATCTTTATTAACACGTTATTAACTAACAAAAATTCCTTTCTAAATTTTATATTTAAACTGTAAATACTAAGAATCTAATTTATTAAAATGAAACTAATAGGTATTTTTAAAGTAATAATAAATTTTTTCTCTTACTTACGAATACAAACTTACTTCAAAACTTTAGGAATTGTTTTAAATTTTTTTAAGCTACTTTCTGTAATAGATGTTAAGCTAAAAAAAAAAAACAACCTTCAATTTATTGCTGCTTCATTACCTCAACTTTAATTACTCAAATACATATAATCAAAAATGTTCATGTAAACCTACTTTAAAACTTGATTTTTAAAAGTAACAACTTCTGAAGCTGTATGACTTTCATAAATATCTGCAAAACTTGCATTACAAATATTACTAAATGTTAGGCTAAAATGAAATCAAAAGGAATAATAAATTCTTCATTTTATTACTGCCTTAATTTTAATAACAAATAGTAAAAATGTTCAAGTAAACTTACTTTAAAACATGATTTTCAGAAGCAACAACTTCTGAAGCTGTATGACTTTCATAAATATCTGTAAAACTTGCATTACAAATATTACTACATGTTGGGCTAAAGATTAAAAAATTCTTCATTTTATTACTGCCTTAATTTTAATAACAAATAATCAAAATGCTCAAGTAAACCTACTTTAAAACTTGATTTTTAGCAGCAACAACTTCTGAAGCTGTATGACTTTCATGAATATCTGTAAAACTTGAATTACAAATATTACTACATGTTGGGCTAAAGAAAAATAAACTCTTCATTTTATTACTGACTTAATTTTAATAACAAATAATCAAAATGTTCATGTAAACCTACTTTAAAACTTGATTTTCAGAAGTAACAACTTCTGAAGCTGTATGACTTTTATGAATATCTGCAAAACTTGCATTACAAATATTACTATATGTTGGGCTAAAGAATAAAAAATTCTTCATTTTATTACTGCCTTAATTTTAATAACAAATAATCAAAATGTTTATGTAAACCTACTTTAAAACTTGATTTTCAGAAGTAACAACTTCTGAAGCTGTATGACTTTTATGAATATCTGCAAAACTTGCATTACAAGCATTACTACATGTTGTGCTAAAATAAAATCAAAAAAGAATAATAAATCCTTAAATTTATTGCTGATTCATTACCCCAATTTTAATTAATCAATTACAACTAATCAAAAATGTAAATTGAAATATAAGCATTATTATTTTTTTTTATATTATAATTAGTTTTATATGATTCTTACATGGAATGAGCAATACTCCTTAACTGAAAAGTTATTTTGAATAATTTAAATTTTTTTAAAAATATTTTTATTTAATATAATAAACTTAAAAACTGCCAAATTTTGAGAAGCTATAAATTCTAAAACAATGGATACAAAAAGTTATAAATTGTTTTAAAACTGCTACAATGGATACGTTAAAAATAATAAACATACCTTTAAATCTATTGCTGTTTTATTACCTTAATTGAAAGAGGTAATAATTGAAAAGTTATGTAAACCTGCTTGAAACTTACAATTTCAGAAGTAGTAAATTTCAAAACTGATGTGTTTTCTTGAATTTCATGTAATTTTTTTTTTCAATATGAAGTTATGCCAAAGTTAATTTTTAAAAAAAAGTTACCAAAAAAGCACTAAAGCTAAATACTGATTTTCAGTTTATTAAAAGAAGAAAACTATTTTAAAAAATTAAACAGAAAAATATCTACATCATTTAGTTTTTTGTATTTGTTATTTTACAGATTTTAGTTAACTCAGATATTAAATTTACATAAACAATAACTTCTAAAACTGCTGGAATAACTGTAGAGTTATCATAACTTAAGTTACTTTATTAAATAGAATACTAAAATAAAACTAAACAACAATATTAAAAGTATTCTTGTATATCATATCGAGCTTATTGCCATTCTATAAATAAAAAATGGTTAAATAACTTTAAAAAGTCAAAACAACCTACTCTTAAATTAGTGATTCAGAAGTAATAACTTTAGAATCTGAAAGAACAGATAAAACATCAAAACTTTTTTTACTTATTGTTCTAGGTGTTAAGTTAAATGACATCAAATATGTTGACATTAAACAAATTTATCCCAAATTACCTTTATAAGAAGCAAATAAATATTTTAAGTCAACAATAAAATTTGTATTAGTAATTTAAAAACTTTTTCAAATTTGAAATAGGCTTGTCACCTATTAAAATAAAACAAAAAATAAGGATGTAGTGCATCCAAGAATTGCTACTAACTATTGTATTTAAAGACACTTCTACAGCATATAAACTTAATTTTAAAATGGACTTTTAGAAACCATTGTTTCTGAAACTGAAGGAATTAAATCAAAACAGAAGATATTTTCTTTACCTGATGTCAAGCTAAAACAAAACAATTGATATTATTAAATGCTTCCAATAAATTATTGCTTTTTAATTACTTTAATTGAAAGAGGACAACTAAATTAAAAATCTTATGGTTCTTACTTCAACAAATCTGATGCTCCAGAAGTAATTACTTCAAAAATCCCTGTGTTTTTTTTAACATCTTTTTTTCTTTTTCCTGATTTTTGAGTTATGCAGAAGTCGATTTCTTTATTAAAGCTATAATGTAATTTAACATTCTTTTACAAAATACTGTTTCCTTGCATTAAAACAAAAAACTTGAAATTCTAACAAATAATATTATTAACCTAAGCTAATAATGTTATTTGACAAAAAGTCTATTCAATTATTTGTTTCACCTATTCAAAATTTAAATGTTAACTTTTATCTTTTTTCTACACCTGATATAATATCTTAATAAAAACTAAAAAAAAACTAACTAAGATAAAAAAAATTGTAAATAATCAATAATAAAACTACCTTATGTGTTTTTTGAAATCATCTGGTTGTGATGGAAACACCTATTTTAAATAATTTAATTTAAAGTTTATATTGTAAATTTAAATATATACAAAATGCTAATTTCTTATTTTCAAGTCCTAACAAAAAAAGCATGTAAAATAAAATTATTTAGTGGAGATACCAATTATGTTTTTCAGTTTAAATTTTTTCGTAAATAAAACTGTACGAAATCAAAAAGTTTTGAAAACAAAACATGAATTTCCACCTAAGTTATGAATTTTGGTGAGAATCATTATTTCAATACTAAAAATTTTTTATATAGGGGAAGTAGGGGAGCATTGGGCACTTTTTTACATAAACGCTAATAAATCTGTTATTTTTTATCATAATCAAAATTTTATTTCAAATACATCTAGCACACATATTTAGCATTAATTATTGCTAGGAAAAGTTTTAGTATTATAATTAGTTGCAAAGTTACAAAAGATTTTCTAACACGTGTCCAAAGTGCCCAAACCTCCCCGTGGTTGGGAGGATTGGGCACTATGGGGCCTATGGGGAGGTTTGGGCACTGTTTTTAATATGAACGATATTGTTTTACTATACTCATATGCTTAAGTGTTATATAGCATTGCTATAAAAAATAGTAACACAAACATTTTTTCATATCATAGACTTTACAAAAGATTAAACAATGTTACTTGGAATCAATACTCCACAATGTTGGACCTAATAAAACTTATCTTAAATTTGGTATGACCCAAAGAGGCTTGTCAAATTTATATTTTAAGCTGCCACTTTTTATCCATGTTGATGGTGTAGGCAATTTTGTCTTTATATCCTCCAGGGGGACACTGGCTACGTCCTCGATGTCAGGAAACATAAACGTATTTCTTATCTTACTCGCTCTCATGAATTTGACAGTTGCCATGGAGCGATTAACCTCTTTGACAATTCCAACATAATGATAAACAGTTTTTTTGGTGTCAAATTTAACCAACACAAAGTTATTAACCTGGAAATTTTTATCCAGAACACTCACATCGTCTACATCAAAATCTTCTTCTGATGAATCAATTTCAACAAGGGCTTTGTCAGAAACGGAAACATTTTTTATTTCATCATCACAACTAATCTTCCTGTTTTTCTCATTTTTAGGGCATTTTCGATTTTTGTTGAGCTCTTATTTTTTCTTTGTTTTTTTTTTCTTTAATTTCTATAAGTCTTTTCTCGGGTGTGTCTGTCAATATTCTAGTTTTTCCTTTCTTCCGTTTCATGCCACCCAATTTCCTGGGGCCGGCTTTCGGATATGGTCTTACTAAATCAGGTGTTACATTGACAGTGCCACTAGTCTGGCTTTTAGATAAAGATTCAAGTTGAGATAGCCCAGTGACTTCCACATTCAAACTTTTACGATCTTCTAGTCTCAGATTTTCTTCTGTTGAAGGCTGTTCCATGATAGGTTGGTCTGAAATCGATTTTTCTGTAGCAACATTGTTCTCTTCAGGCAAGTAGCGATCAGTTATAGAAGAACAAACGAAATCTTCATCAGAGAAAATGTTTGAATTGAATGGGCAAATGCCAGATTTTTTAAATCCCGTTTGAATATTTTGCAACTTGAATGCAAGTGGGATGGCCTTTGCTGCTAATTTTGGGATTTCATAAATTGTTACCGTTGCCAGGATTGCTCACCATCCAATCTGTTACAGCAGTGTTATAATAAGTTTTGAGTGGTCCATAGACAGTCAGGTCTAGAGGTTGCAGTTTATGGCTGCAGTGCGGTGGGAAAGTTATTAAAACAATGCCTGATTTTATACAAAAATCGAGAACTGGTACTGAAATATGGCTCTCGTGGTTGTCCAGCAGCAATCGAACTGGTGATGAAGGCGTTGGTTTCGCGTATTTTTTAAAATGGTGTATATATTTTAAAAAACTTGGTACTGTCATCCACCCTGAAGGATGTGCTGCTCCATCTGAACCAACAGGTGCATCATTTAACATATATGTTTTGAAAATAACTCGTGGGAATATGAAAAAGGGTGGTATTGAGTTACCCAATGCATTAATGCCGCAGCAAACAGTTACAAGTGTCCCTCTTTCAGCTGACGTTACTTGCCTAACTTGCTTAGTGCCTCTGAGAGCAATCACTTTCTGGGTTCGTTGAACTGTTGATAATCCAGTTTCGTCTGTATTGTAAACAGACTCAGGGCCAAAACGATGTTGTTCATATACAGTTTTAAGATTTTCAAAAAAATCTCCAACATTTTTCTTATTGAAACTTGTGGCACGTGAGAGACTAGTAGCTTCTGGGGTCCTTACCAAAAGCTGAGGTTGTCTTTTAAAAAATCCCCTTAGTCAATCTTTCGATGCAAGTTTCTTCTTTGTCCAGTTGTCTGGTATTTTTTTATTAATGGCAGTGACATATTCGTATACTAATTTGCGTGCTTTCAGTTTTGACATTCCATGGTTAAATTTAAACAATGTAACAAAATATTCTGAAATTTTTTCTTTTTCATCTTTTGTGAATATTTTGGATGATATATATTTACAAGAAGTATCTTTCACAACGCCACCCTGTTTTATGTATCTTTGAAGGTTAGACCTGGGTATGTCATATTTAATCGCAGTAGTTTTAATTTTTCCTCCTTTAGAAACCTCTTCCAATGCACGCAAAATAACATCTTTAGGGATTTCACGTCGTTTATTTGTCTTTTTAAATAAAAACGGCATTGTCCTGAAAAGAAATGATTAAACATTCAATCCAATAGTCATAGCAAAAAAATACAAACATATAACAAAAAAACACAATAAAAAAAGAGGGAGCATTGGGCATGCCCAAACCTCCCTCCTACCTGCATGCCCAATGCTCCCCATAACCTCACTTTTCAAACAGATTTGAATAAGTTTATTTTTATCAAATGTTGAATCCTAATTGTCAGGTAAATATAATGTTCATTAAACACAAAAGAAGAAGTTAACACAGATACTTACAATTTCTTGCAGATTTCTTTGTTATCTTTCTTCAAATCATAAACAAAATATTTACTTTTGAACGCAACAAACTGTTAAGCGCATGTAACCTGACAACCAAGTCAATCGACAGCTGACACTTTTGATGAGGGGTGCTGCCAATTATAAAACTATAATGCTACGGTAGAAAACAAAAAATATCTAGAAGAGATTGTGAAAAATGAGGGGGTGCCCAAACCTCCCAACTGCCCAATGCTCCCCTACCTCCCCTACATGTAGTAATTGTTTTAATGTTAATTTATATATAATTAATGCAGAACAATAATTTTGTTCATATGAAACAATAATTTTGTTCATATGGGGATACTTAATCGCCGCAAGTGGGATAACTGTTTCTCTGTAAATAAAGTATCCGATGAAAATAACATAAGTAAACAAATTAAAAAAGATGTTTTGATTTAGTTATTTTTATTGTTTTACCTAGGTTATTTTTATTGGATACTTTGACAAATTTAAACCACAACAAATTGAACTTACTAAAAACTATAGAATTAAACTCATCCTAAAAAAACAACATTTTTTTTAAAACATCAACATCAAATTTATGATTAAACTTTATAGTCGGCTGTCCTGGTTGTTCCGCTGACGGATAACTGCAATAGCTTCCCAACATAAAAATTGAGTATTTCTACAGTATGAAACTTGACTAAAACGTAGTTGCCAGGCTTAGGATCTGTTTCATCAATAAGTTTCAAAGAAAATCAGAGCAACAGCTGATAACTGGATGACTGGAAAGATCATCCTCATTATTAGTTAAATTGAAAAGTTCTCTGTTTCTTAGTTATTAAAGTTATTTTTTGAAATGTTTAAAATTTGAAATTTTTCAATAGACATGGTGAAATTGTCAAAATATATGGCTCAATGAAGTTCAATCACATGCCTTATTAACCAGGCCTCAAGCATCCCCCCTTTTTTAAGTATCAACTACTACTATATTAATATTTTTTGAAAAATTAAGTTTTAGACAGAGTTACAGTTTGAATACCGATGTTACAGTTTTAATTGGGTAAAAGTCTACATGTTTCACCTATTGGGGAAGTATAATCATAAACTAAACATAACTTCATAAATAGTTATGATCAGTTACCTTGAACAAGTAAAATAAAATTTTAATGTCACAAAATAAAACAGTCTTTATTATAATGTTAGGCGTGAACAGAACAATGATAAAGTATCACTAGAAATCAAATTTAAATTGGGATCAACAATCCCCCCTTTCTCTACTTTTTTTGTTTGTTGAGCAACAAGCTACATGTTAGATTTAAAAAAAAACAATATAAAAATTGAAGCAATTGTGACGTTTTTCCTCCAAACCTAAAGATTCCTAGAGTTCCAGAGGTTAGAAAAAGAAAGAGAAACTATAAAAAATATTCAAACCTTTTTAAACTCACATCCTTTTGATGCAAATACCTGATTAAAAATTAACAATTTAAGTTTGCAAATTTAAATAATTGAACAATTTTGTATAGATTTTTTCAAAAAATTTTAAAAACTAACCATCGATGGAGTGAGACTCACTTTTCTCTGCAATTCCTATATAAAAAAATAAGCAACAAAAATGTTTTTATAAACTATTAAATAATAAATTATAACATTAAATATTATAAACAAATATTAAAATAAATACATGAAAATAAAATAATTACTTTTCCATGTAAATATGCTTTGATATCATCGATTGTGAAAGGTTTCTGATATTTTTGCTTATCAAAATAAAGAATATAAAAATAAAGTATTTTAAAAGATAAAACAACTTTATTTTACTGTATTCAAACTTATTAACAACCTATAAGTTTTTAGAAAATTTAAATTTAAGTTGTTACTTAAGTATTTCTAAATATTTTTTTAAATATTATTACAATTCAAATAAAAACTAAATTTTAAAAATATAAAAAAAAAAATATGATAAATTATTCACATTCTTTCTCCAACACTGATTAGAGCTATCACCATAGTCATATCTTAACTCTGTGCCTTTAAAAATGAATTTATTAGCTATTAAAAAAGGTGCAGTCTTCCATCTATGATATGAGTTTTAGGTAAGCAATTTGAAAACTTTTCAGAAGCATCATTTACAAACCGTGCAAAACAGTGTGAATCTGTACCATCAATGCTAATATATGAGAATTAAAAATAAAAAAAAAGTTATATATATATATAAAACTTTTTTTTTACGTTTAATATATTATATATATATATATATATATATATATATATATATATATATATATATATATATATATATATATATATATATATATATATATATATATATATATATATATATATATATGTATATATATATATATATATATATATATATATATATATATATATATATATATATATATATATATATATATACACATACATACATATATCTAGATATACATATATGCATATATATATATATATATATATATATATATATATATATATATATATATATATATATATATATATATATATATATATATATATATATATATATATAGTATATATATATATATATTATATATATATATATATATAATATATATATATATATTATATATATATATATATATATATATATATATATATATATGTATATATATATATATTATATATATATATATATATATATATAT